GGCTAACTCACAGATCAAACCCTGAAACAACCTCTGGGCTGATCTAAGCCAGGGCATGGCTAACTCACAAATCGAATAGCATGATTGCAGTGCTGTGTGTTCTATTAAAGCACAAGCTCCCAACCAATTAGAACACAGGATTTAAAACTGCTTTTTTATGAGAATAATGTATTTCATACCTTGCAGAATTACCCAGTGACAAATCATGGGGGAAGAAAAAGTCAACATTCTATGATGCCGATACCGCTGACGCAGATGTTGGTATGTTTATTACATATAAAGAGGCTTTGCACCATCACATGCCAGCACCCATCATACAGCTTGGACTGATTGTGATTAGATAGCAGAACAATAAGATAATATTATACCTGGACTACAGCAGTGAGAAGCTCCAATCTTGGTCAAAAATGTTGAGAAATTTTTAGTTTTAATGGTATTTCCATGAAAAACATGAAAAAAACGACCCCCCCCCCCAAAAAAAAACGATGTTGTTTCGAGGGATACAGGGCTGCTTTACCTACTGGGACCAACATTGTCCTGGGAGAGAGGGGGTTCGGACAATAGTTTTTTTTTAATAAGGGAAATTCTACTATTTCATGATTGGATGAAAAATTCTSAACTCTTTTTGTCCAAGATTGTAGCAGTAAACCACTATGCCATGCATGCCACCTATCTCTCTCCCCCTGGGGAGTTTATTGGTACTTCTCCATCTCTCTCCCCCTGGGAAATTTATTGGTACTTCTCCATCTCTCTCCCCCTGGGGAGTTTATTGGCACTTCTCCATCTCTCTCCCCCTTGGGAGTTTATTGGTACTTCTCCATCTCTCTCCCTCTGGGGAGTTTATTGGCACTTCTCCATCTCTCTCCCCCTTGGGAGTTTATTGGCACTTCTCCATCTCTCTCCCCCTTGGGTTTAGGTTGGCACTACTAAGTTCTTTCTTTAGTATGTTAAAGCATCTTGCTGACATTTTGTATTTTTGTCTACAGGTTCTGAAGAAGAGACATGGGAGCTTGAAAAACAAGAGGAAGAAGCAGCACTTGTCTTGCAACAGAGGATGGCTGCGGCATTAGATGAGGACGACTTTGATGTTGCTAACTTTCAGGTAAGAAATGGCATGAGAATAAAAGGACACAAGACACGACCGCCATATTGATTTATCAGGGCTTAAAATAACAGTTGGACATCAAACAATATCCACCCAGTATTATAACTTGTCCGGTCAAATGTTTGCCTTGCCGGTCATTTTGACCAGTACCATTAAGCCAGAAACAAAGTATGACCAAGTTAAGACTAATTTGGTGGTGACCATAACTGGCATCTTACCAACTGTTATTTTAGGGACGGACCATTAGATTTTTGAGAGGGGGGTGGGCAAAAACCAAAAAAAAAATATTTAGCACAGAGAGTGAAAAAAAAATTGTGCATAAGAAAAGAGCCAGAAAAAAATTCCAAATTATGTCCAAAAAAAAATCCTGCACAAAATAAATTGCCAACCCCCCCCCCCTCAAATATTTAATGGTCCATCCTTTAAGTTATGTTGGTTTACAYGACTAATGACACCTAGACCAAATCTTTTGTCAATGCCAACCAAAATGGTGGTTATGGCATCACATGCCATCAATAATGTCAAGTTATAAGGGAATAAGAAATAGAACCCCTCTTCAACTTGGGCGTTATATATCCCATCTTAGACTGTTTATCTTAGAATAAGACTCTTTCATTTTGGATAAAACCTAAAATGACGGGGCCGTCTCTCAATCCACATTATCTCATCCTGCATCAGATTTGTAAAAGAACCACTGAGGATTGTAAAGAAACCCTTGCAGTGACCACCCTATATCTGGCCTCTACTAGTGATATATTTATATTATATTTTGTTCGTTATTGTTACAGATTCCAGTGGATGAAGAGAAAGATGATGATATTGAGGTCAGCAAAAAATTTTCACAGACAGCAACGTAATGTGTTATAATTGTATATTAACCCAGAGGTTAGTTATTTCAGGATTTAATATACAGTATCATTAAAGATTTGAATTGCTTTACAGGAGAAGAAGACCGTGGCAATGGATCTCAGCAAGCTCTCCAAAGAACAAAAATTAGAGGTAGAAAAAAATGATCTGCCAATCCCCAAGTGCTTTATAACTCCACACAACACAGCAAGCAAGTTTTTTATTTCTTTTATAAAATGCAAAATGCGTGTGTGTGCTGTGTGCTCTCATAAAGCACGCGCTCCCAACCAATCAGAATGCATGATTTATAACAGTTATTTTATAATGCAAAATAGAAAACTCTTATTAAAACTCTTATTAAATATACTAGTCTCTATTTAGCATCCACCTATTACTGTAATTAGCAACCAATTTCTATTTAACGGCCAGTCATTATGTGGCTACCTTCTATAAAAGCGGTCACCCATTAAGCGGCAAGTTGTCAAAGTCCAAATGTATCCTCTGTAATGTGTAGTTCTGGAAAATATCTGYACCCCACCCATGGAGAGAATTGTAACTTCTTGAGGGTAGGGGGGTCAGAGAAAGAACAAAATTACAGAGTTTGTATGGAAGAATATTGGAAGTCCCTGGGGGTAGGGGGTCCTTTTATGAATTCTTGCCGTGGTGGGGGTATATATATTTTTGTGGAACTACACAATTTGGCCAACCTCTATTTGGTGGCCACTTGACAATTTTTCTAGATTGACAGCTTAAGATAGTTACTACTGTATGTTAATTTTGTGCATTTTTTGTATCTATTGCAGATTCTTTTTAGAGATTCTCCTGAACTGTTTGAGCTGCTGGAAGATTTCAAAACAAAGGTGCACATGATTAAGACTGAATTCATCATGACTATAAAGCAGTATAGCATGCAGCGCCGTGCCTGTCGGAGCGCTAGATCACTGCTAATGAATCCCAATGCATGGACAGGGCACCAGTGGCATAGCCAAGATTTTCTGAAGGGGGTGGGGGCAAATTTTAAAAAAACCTGCCATTTTGTTTGAGCCCCCAAATTGCCAATCCCAAAAAGGCGGCATTCATTTAAACCTTTTATTTTTACAAAATAAAATTACCATATATAAATTCTAAAATGCTGCCATGTTTTTTCTTTCTTTCTTATTTTTTTCCATCAACTTTCTTTATTTCATCATAACTTATAAATAATTTACATTCATTCAATGCTGCCATGTTGTTGCCACAAAGGGGGTGCCCTGGTCTCTTAGCCCCCCACTACCTACGCCCCTGGGCACCATCATAGTCATGCCATGGAACAGTCTGCTGTACCATACTCTGACAAAAAGCACAATCAACAAATGCATCTGTTAGTCTTGCTACAGTTTTGTAACTGTTTCTTTATTGCTTTTTTTCCAGCTGGAAGAGATCACATCTGTGCTATCACCTTTAATCCAGATTGCAAAACTGGGCAATTTGCCCCCTGAGGTAAGATGTGTTTTGTAAATGGAGARTTTAAGATTCTCGTTTACGGCAAACGTGAAACGTCAGTTGACCATCAAAAAATTCTTTTAAATTAGTGAAAAGGAATCGCAAAAATCTCCAAGTAGTACATAAACAAAAGTATACTTGTCTTTGTCGAGAAGGTTTGCAAAAGGTAAAGTGAAATGTAGGGAAATGATGAAAATGTGGTCACGTTTGCCGTTTGCGGGAAGGAAAAACGGGAATCTCAATCTGCCTAATGGTGCCAACCCTCTGACTTTTATCAGATGATTGTTGTGATTAATAGATGCAAATAGATCTAGGGAAGCATGGTTGGCTTGTGTTCCTATAATACCTCGCCTCTCACCAATGCGACCTGGGTTCGAGTCCCATTGGTTTCACTGTCCTATGCAAGTAGAGTTGTTTGTTGGTTCTCTTCTGTGCTTAGAGGGTTTTTCTCTGGGTTCTCTGGTTTTCCTACATTTGCAAAATTTTCTAAAAACTTCTACAGTAAATTCCAATTTGGTCTTGGGCTGTCTTAAAGAATGTTATTCTTAAGAGAATAAAAAGAAAAAACATCATTTCTTTACCCTTAGGGTGCAAAATATTTGGAGCTGAAACACCAACTTTACCTCAAGTAAGTAAATATTATTTTTATATGCATTAGCTCTATCCTTTTGAATAATTTTCTTACATTACCAGAGGGATACAGTAAACAAAGGCGAGCCTTGTTAAAGAGAAAAGCTATACCACAGGCAAAGGAACTTTCCTTGATCAGTTTGTGTTGCACTTTGGACAAATTTCAGAAACATGGATCGGGGCTGGTGCAGCAGAGAAATCACTTGCCTCTCACTATTGTGACTTGCATAAATTGTTGTTTGTTCTCTCCTTGGTTTTCCTACCTTAGCAAAAAAATCCACTTCTCGTGTTAAAYGCTTTAGTCATGTTGAGCTGTCAATCACTCCTTGTGTAACTGACAAATATTACATGACGTTTGAACTTTTTTAAATATTCTCATATTGTGTTTCCATAGTTACTGTATAAACATTAGCTTCTACCTGTTAATGAAGGCCAGACAGACACCAGTCAAGGGACACCCGGTCATTGAGAGGATAGTTCAGTATAGAACAGTAAGTTAATGGTTAATGGAATTTTCTCATGCCACTTTCTCATGCCACAGCCATGTTTGCTGGAAGAATTTTTTTTTGCCGAGCTAGCCTTTAAAAAATTTTTTTTTCTTCTTTCAGCTGATTAAAGAACTTGAGCCACTAGACAAAGAACTGGAATCAGACATTGAAATACTCTTAGCAAACAAAGAAGAATTACTGAAACAATCAGGTAATGAACCAAATTCACTTAGGCGTAATTTTTTCCCATTTCAGACCACGTGTCATTTCCTTGAGAATAATATCCTTTGTTTGAGTTGTATTCATATTCATGTGTCTTCTCGTGTGCAACTGTTAAACAAAGAAATGATACTCTAGGGAATGACGTGGTTTGAAATGGGAAAACATTACGTGCAAGTGGATTTAGTCCATTTCATATAACACACCCACTTTCCCCTTCTCTTCACACTTCTCTCACGCTTACCTCATTCCCTGCATGCTATATTACTGAACAGAGCACTAAAATCATTGTTTCATCATTTGCAGAGACTATTAAAGAAAGTCTAACGGAAAAAATGGGAAAACATTCTGAAGTCAGTAATATATTTTTGTCAATTTCTCTTCTATATATACCAGAAATATTTAACATTAACTAGTTTGTTTGTTTGGATTCTTGTTATTCATTACTTCAGGTTAAGAAGAAGTTAAAAAAGAAACAAAAGAAATTTTCAAAAGCAGAAACAAAAATCTCAGCTCTGTTGGATGAGAGTGATAATGAAGATATTCAGGTTAGTGAAAAAAACAGCATTTATTTGCTTGTACCTGTACCTGTCATGTACGACAGCATTCTTATGCAAACCTTCAATGCTATTGATACCCTGAAACAACTTCTGGGCTTGCCTAAGTCAGGGCATGGCTAACTCACAGATTGAACCCTGAAACAACCTCTGGGCTGATCTAAGTCAGGGCATGGCTAACTCACAGATTGAACCCTGAAAGAACCTCTGGGCTGATATAAGTCAGGGCATGGCTAACTCACAGATATAATTGAGATTTATTGTGTTGGGTTTTGTGGAGGGGTAAAACCTTAGAAAAGCTATTGAATCAAGAGAGAGACCTAACAAACTCTACTCACATGTGATGCTGAGTTCAGGAATCAAACCCGAGACCCCAGAGGTGAGAGGCAAGTGCACTCACTACACTCACCACCCCTACACCACCCTTGATTCCCCGTTTCTGTGTTTCCAATTTTAAAATCTAGATCAATGCATGATGCATTTATATTTTGTATTTCGAACGACAGGAAGAAGAAAACGAACCTCCTAAGAAAAAAACTAAGAAGAAGAATCATGAAGGACATCCAGATCCACTTGAATATTATGAAAAGGTTCGTCTGGAAAAGAAACGAGCAAAAGAAATAAAAAACATGGCTGCCAGGTGTGTATTAATACTACGATTCGTGCGTCTTGAACTTTGCCCGGGGGAGGGGGGTACACCGGGGTGAAAGTATTCTGGTATACTTGTTGTATCCCTTTGTTGTAAAAATCAGCGATTTGATATCTTTTAGGGTGTTAAGATTGACGACGCGTTAGCAGCGTATGCTACTCATGCTTCTCATTGTTTCACGGGTTGAATGTCTTCACTCTAATAGCTTTTTACAAGTGTTTTYGTGTTCATAAGGTTGGCTCGCGAGCCTGGCTTTGAGGAAGATGACATGGAGGAGAACGAGGATATGAAACGAGCTATTACTTATCAAGTGAGTTGTGGGATTAAAAATGCATTTTTCAGGTGTCACTCGTTCTATCCCCATATTCTAAATTGATGTGTAACTGTCTGGAATTTAAAATTTCGTCCCAATTAGTACTTAGTTTTGTCTTTCTTATTTCGAGGCCATTCATCTATTAGGAAGTTGCATCCCTTTCGATATTCTTTTATTCCCTTCCATCCGTCCATCAATCCCTCCCTCCCTCCCTCCTTCCCTCCATCCATCCATCCATCCATCCATCCATTCCTTCCTCCCTC